TATACATTCATATGAAAAGCACTGAACTGCAAACCACAAGGTCTGCGCTTCGAGATCAACAGCAGTTCCAAGGGAGAAAGTTGAGATTTTCTGCTCCCACAAAGCCTTGGAAACCCTATATATGGCTGCCATGAGTTAGAATCTACTTGGCGGCAGTTAACATCAGCATATATATATACACACATACATATGTTTATTTATATATTTATATACATAGAGAGACAGACAGACAGAGATTCCTGGTCTGGCTCTGTGGGCTAGTGTGCTAGACTGCAAAGTAGGTTTGATTTGCAAGGTCCATGGTTCAAGCTTACCAGCTGCTCCTTGGAAACCCTATATATGGTTACTGTGGGTCAGAACTGACCTGACAGCACTTAGCAACAACATGTATATGTATATATATATACACACACACTCAGGTAGCATAGAGGTTTACACCTTGGGCTGCTAGCCAAAAGGTCAGCAATTCAGCTCCACTAGGCACTCTGTTAGTGTAGGGGTTATGAATTGGGCTGCAAACCTCAGGGTCAGCAGTTCAAAACTACCAGCTGTTCCATGGGAGAAAGATGAGGCTTTCTGCTCCCATAAAGATTTACAGACTTGGAAACCCTGTACAGGGTCACTATGAGTCAGAACCGACTCCATGGCACATAACAACACAACAGGCATTCCATGGGAGAAAGATGAGATTTTCTGTTCTTGCAAAGATTCACAACCTTGAAACCCCTGTACAGGGTCGCTATGAGTCAGAATCAACACCATAGCACACCACCACCACATATATGCTGTTGTTATTAGGTTCCATCACATTAGTGCTACTCATAGCGACCAGTGCCTGGTGCCTGGATTTTACGCAATTCAATAAAGAGAATAGTTAAAATACACATTTGGCAAATGAAAGATAGACCTTCCTTTCTCCATGGATAAGTTTCTGTCTACTTATAGTCCTGGCACCAGACACTGGTTTATATGGGAAAAGTTGTATATTTTCATACACTAAATATTAGTGGACCTATGTTAGGAGCTCTGGTAGCGTAGTGGTTACGAATTGGGCTGCGAATCTTAAGGTCAGCGGTTCGAAACTACCAGCAGCTCCGCGGGAGAAAGATGAGGCTTTCTACTCCCGTAAAGAGTTACACCCTCGGAAACCCTGTACAGGGTCACTATGGGTCGGAACCAACTCGACAGCACTTAACAATAACAACAACATGTTTTAATCTCAGTATAGTCACAGAAAGGTAACATTCCCTGTATTAATCAGGATATCGTAGAGAAATTGGATGAGCATCACATGATGTCTGCATGCTCAGATAATGGAAGCTGAAGTGATATGATCAATAAGATAAAATTACGTATAAATGTCTATATCTTTACCTAACTTCATCATTTAAACAGAATCACAAAAGACAGTCAGACACACAGTTCACAGAGCACATTCCCTTAATCTGTTTCAGAGACACAAACACATGTGATCTCTGAATAGCCCAACAAGTCTTCTGAAAGTCACATTTCATTTCGACAATGAATTGGTTGAAGTAGTCTCTGACCCTCTCCTCTCTTTAATTGCCTCTATAAAAATCACCTCCTGCCTTATAGCACGTGACACACAATTTCTTATATCTGGAACATCTAATCGGAATTATCTAGCAATTTTCCTAGAATAGTAAACCCGTGCTAATTTTATAATAACTGAAAACTGTCATAAAAATGTGACCTTAATTTATAGTCATAAGTAGTTGTCTGCATGATGCTGCTCTGTGCATGATCTGTGTACCATGCCATGTGCACATCTATGCAAGATATCTGAATTCTCTCATGCTACTTCAAAAGGTTAATTCTGAAGGGCAGGAGTTACATGTATCTTCTGTTTAGAAACTCGCATATAATGGGTAAATATTCACTATTAAAAGGTAGCAACAATTACTCACTTTACTATTGTACTAAATCATATATTATGAAATTCTTGTCTTTCAGTTACCTGGCCGAGCAACCAGTTTTGATAGTCAAGGGTCCTGTTCATCTCCCAAACCAGCTTCCACGCCATAATGCCTCCAAAATGCGACCACTGTTTTAAGGGTGTAGAACCATGTGCTCATAAAATCAGCACAAAGAAAAAGTAGAAGGTTTGATTTCCCCATTTAAAATATATCCATGGTGATTAATATATTTCATGTGTAACTTTTTTTATTAAGGTCTTTGTTTAGATTTGGTTTGGGGTTTTTTTGTTTGTTAATTAACTTTGAATACGTCAATATACTTTACTTGAACATAACTAGTCCTTATTAACATAAGTCACTTTATCCTTCATGGTATATGCCTATTAGTACAAAGACTGTTTTGATAAGTTGCAATTCTTTGCATAAGCAAAGAAGATTTTTAAAAGAAAACAATATTTATGTATAATTAAATATAGTTTACGCTGCTGTTGTGTAAAGTAGCTCATGCCATAAGTGTATAGTTTTGATTTTGTTAGAAGCCTACTCATTTCCAGTTGTTCACATGGTTCTATATAAGCTTTAATGAAAAATTTGAACATATGTACACAGTGTTAAGTCCTTGAGCAATCAAACTAATGTTACTTATCTGATAACGTTTTCTTTCATTGCAAGCCAATTATTGGTGAGGTTTGTCTTTGCCAAACTCAAGATTTTGTCACTTAAGCTTCTTCTTTAAAGCATATGGATAGAGCTATAAATTTAAAGAACTATTTTGAATATAAATTAAAGAAGTAATATTCAATAGATAGAAAATGGAGGTTGAACCATTTTGGCTACAATTTTATACTGTCTTAATGTTACATTAGCTGAAATAAATATCTGTTGCATTGTGTGACTGATATTTTTAAAATTCTAGTAACCTCAAATGTAGCATTAGTATTCCTAAGTGAATAGAATCAGAAGTTGTTCAATTTTTAAGTGTTTGTAAAGTTTTCAAGTACTGTGACATGTATTTTTCGTGACATGAAGCTATAATGTAGAACTCGTGTTTCTGATAGCCCGTACTAACAGACACCAAAGGTACAATAAAACTCTCTGTGCTCACTGTCCTTTAGATTATATGAAACAATGGTGACTTTTAAGCTTGATCAGAAATTAATCAGAATTAGGTGTTTTATTAAAGAAAGGAGGAGTTATTTTTCAGTAAATCTTATAAATATGCTATAAATAACACAATTTCAACACTTAATAAAAGTAAGCAAATGAATTTTTAAGACCCAGACCTATAGTCCTTTCATGAAAGGCTTGTGCCTTTGTGAAGATCAAGGAATACTTAATAGTAGTAAAAACTATGCAAATGTTTTTGCAAGATGATATTCTTTCAAATCAGGTCTACATTTCATTCTCTTGCATCCAGGCAAGGTGTATATGAGGAGGCTTCAAAAAGTTCATGGGGAAAATGGAATTAAAAGATAATGGAATTCTTCCACAAACTTTTTGAAACCTCTTTGTATCACATATAAATAAATTCGAAACACACACACATACGTATCTATCCCCTCATTATATATATAAATATCATGCAACAGTTGAAGGGCCAAAAAAAGAAAAGAAAATCTTAGCTTAGAATATATGTCAACGTCATAAAATCTTATCACAGCAATTGCCAGGTTTTATTTTAGTAAAGTCTTTTAAAATATTCTAAAACACATTTCAATGCCTTGAAATTTTGTTTGTTGGTATCCCTCATTAGGACGGCATTACTTAATTAAGATGTATATATTTTACATGATTTTCAAATCAAATACAATTCTGTCTAAATTTTATCAAAAATGCCTGGACCATTCTAATGAAAACAAGTATTTCTAGCTAAAAATAAGTATTTTCCCACTGAAAACAATAGAAGAAAATTGCTTGGAAAGACTTGGCTACTACATTAGCAAACCTGAAAGAACCACTTGACATAGGGAGATTGATTGAACTTGATGTTTCTGTTTTAGAACTCTTTGTTTTACTCAAAAATAAAATTGTCAAATGGGAAATGAAAAGTTAAACTCTTAATAGAATGATATTTTTGGAAAAAAATTATATTTTACTAGTAGGTATAGCTTCAGCTAAAAGCAAATAAGTAAATTATATTTCCTAAATGATTGTAATATAATTATTTGTACTTAAAACCAAATGTTTAGAACCTCATATTCACTTTTAGAAGTCCATGGTTTGTTTTTTTTTTTGCTTTCCAAGGAGAAACAGCTAACACAAGTGAGGAAAAAAATGAGAATAATCAATCAGGAGACATTAACTCAAGGACAACAGATTAAAATAAGTTTTTAAAGAAATATTTTAGAAATTGATTGATTCCTAGCATTTAGCGTAAACTCCTCCTGCCAGAGTAAAATTTCAAGGAGGAAATTCACCACAATTTATCTTTCATGCAATACATGAGGAAGATTTCCCTTCATAAAGCATGATCATTTTATATGATAGTTCATATTATTAAAAACATAACTGTACCATTTTTAATACAACACATAAACACACTAAACAACCTACAACACATTTGTACTTTATACAACCACATGTCTATACGTGTGATTATCCTCTTTTTGCTATAATAACAAATGAAATATTTTTTACTTCAGCGTTTAAAATAAGGTTTGATATTAGAACTATTCTGGACTAGTATGAGTGGGACATCACATTTGAATGACAGCACTGACACATTATGAAGTTGTAGCATACGTATATGACGACTACCTAATTCAGGGATGTATTCAGAGACTTACCAAATCTAAGTATAGGAAAAAGGGATCAATATTACTAGCATAACAACACCAATACTCTTAGGGTTTTGTTTTGTTTTGTTTTTCACTTGACTGGTCAACAAGTAATCAGGGGAATAATGAGTAAATTGTATCTGAAAAGAACATTACATGTTTGTGGACTATACATAATCATCACAAAATTCTGGACAGCTGAGACTTTTGTACACTACTATACTAGTAACGCTTTTCTTGATAGCTTCAGTTTTCTTTGTCAGGCTAGTCTTTTATACCTGGTCCTTTAATTTACATGTTAAAAGTCACTGATATAATACATGAGTCTAACACAGTTCAAGAAAAATTATCATTTGAACTAATGCCAGGGAAATAGAGATGGAAACAGAGCCAAACACCCACTCTTATATGCAGTTTTGAGAACGTGTGTGTGTTCTAGTTAATGCAGGGACATCACAACTGATCAATACTGACTCAGGTTTTAGACAAAAAGCAAAAACATTTGCACTGACTTGGTTGTGATATTTAACTGATAATTCCAACTGTGTTTATTCTCCATTAATGTTCATTGTGTTAAAATTTTGCAGCCTCAATAAAGAGTTACCAATCTCTCAAATCTTTCATTCACTGATTACTTCCAAAATGAAAACAGATAAACTTTTACTTCTGTCTCAACTTTCACTACCCATAAAACAAAGTGAAGTTCGTGTATTTCAGAATTATTTACCAAATACTACTGATCACAAATAAAGGGACATAAAATCTTAGCATTGAACATATGATAATTTGTTCAATGAGTATTTGATATTATTTAAGGACCTATGCTTATATAGAATGGAGTTACGATTAATTTAACCTTAGTTGAGATTATGGCCTTCCAGTTGAACTAAAAAGGAGAAAAAATTTCCTAACCAATCACCTGGTAATTTAAAAATCAAGCAACTATACACACACACATACACAGGATTGGCAAGGATTTAAGTAAACCTTTCAACCACTACTAATTTAAAGAGAACGTGGAGGATTGTTTTCTTCATAATTTGCACTTGAAACAATTTTGGTTGATCTGAGGTACTTTTTGCCATATTTATTTGATCTATATGCTGACCAAATACTTAGAGAAACTGTATTATAGGAAGAAGAACATGACAACAGGAGGAAGAATCATTAATAACCTGTGATAAACAAATGACACAACCCTACTTGCTGAAAGTGAAGAGGACTTGAAGTACTTACTGATAAAAATTAAAGACCATAGCCTTCAATATGGATTACACCTTTATGTCAAGAAAACAAAATTACTTATAACTGGACCAAGAAGCAACATCATGATAAATGGAGCAAAGTTTAAAGTTGTCCAGGATTTCATTTTACTTAGATTTATAATCAATGTGCATGGAAGCAACAGTCAAGAAATTAGAGAGCATATTACATTAGGCAAATCTGCTGCAAGAGACCTTTTTAAAATGTTACGAAGTGAAGATGTCACTTTGAGGACTAATTTACACCAGATCCAAGCTGTATTTTCAACCATCTATGTGAATATGAAAGCTGGCCAATGAATAAAGGAGGCCAGAGAAGAACTGATGCATTTGAATTATACTATTGGCAGAGAATATTGAATATACCACGCACTACCCTAAGAACAAACAAATCTATCCTGGAAGAAGTACAGTGAAATGCTTCTCAGAAGCAAGGATGTTGAAAATTCTCTCACGTACTTTGGATATGTTATCGTAGAGAAGGACCTCATGTTTGGTAAAGTAGAGGGTCAACAAAAAAGAGGAAGACCCTCAATTATATGCACTGGCACAGTGACTGCAACAAGAGACTCAAACAGAGAAGTGACTATAGGGATGGCACAGAACTGGGTAGTGTTTTGTTCTGTTTTATATGGGTCGCTATAAGTAGGAGTAGACTTGATGGCACCTACCAACATAACAGAGTCCTGGTGTGGCGTTGTGGGCTAATGCATCAGACTGCAAAGTTGTTTGAACTGCAAGATTAGTGGTTCAAGCTCACCAGCTGCTCCTTGGAAACCCTATACAGTGTCGCTATGGGTCGGAATCGACTCGACGGCACTTAACAACAACAACAACCAACATAACATCAACAACAAAACTGTATAATCTTTAGACTAATAATTTACTGATGCCAATAAGAAAAGATGCAAAAGCACTGAAATAAAATAATTCAAGGTAAAATTCTGCACATTTAAGTGGTAGTTGAGCAAAAATGTCAAATCATACATAAATTAAGAGATTGAGATGTAAAATTTAAAAAGGAATCCTTAACTTTCAAAGGAAATATATCCTCTATCATTGTTCCAAAC